CGTGCGCATCTCCCGCTCAGCCATGCCATTCTGCTGCGGAGTGTAGGGGCACGTCAGGTCGTGGACGATGCCCTTCCCGTCAACGAAATCGGTGAACGCCTTCCCGAGGAATTCCCCCCCTTGATCGGAGCGAAGCGACAGAACCGACTTCTTCGTCTGTCGTTCCACAAGCACCAGCCACTTCTCGAACTCCCACAGCACATGGCTCTTCTTAGCGACCAGCATTGCCCACACAAATCGAGTATGGCGATCCTTCAGCAGTAGGAAGTACAAGCTGCCATCCTTGGCAGCCACCCGAAATGGCCCGCACAAGTCAATGTGCACGACAGCCAGCGCCTCCGCTGCATCCGAGCCCTTGGCGGGGAAGGTGTGGCGTGCCAGTTTTCCTCCGACGCACGAGACACACGGCGGGTCTGCTCCGGTCGACGACGTGATGTCGAGCCCAGTAGCAACATCATGCTTTGCCGAGCTCTTGATCGTGTCGAAGCTGACGTGTGCGAGCCGCGCATGCATCCTGTTGGGGGTCGTCTTTGTCGCGGAGATGATCGTTCGCAGAGCCACCACCTCGGCCGACAGCGACTGCGTCGAGCAGGGGCGAAGGTCGGTGCAGAGTATCCGTCCGGTGTAGCGAGCTCGACCGAGCACCTCCCCAGTCGCGGAGATGAGCAGCATCTCATCGCCATCTCCCTGCAGCAGCACTCCGCTCTCCTTCAGCTGGCCAGCAGACAACATGTTTGCCTGTACGCCCGGAACGTAAAGTACGTCGGGGATGAGGACCCGCTTCCCGGCCCCCCCTTGCAGAGCGACGGTTCCGCGACCCTTGACAGGCTGTAATGCCCCGTTGAACCCACACACGTGCTTCACCCCGTCGCTCCGCCCCATGTCGACGAAGACCGACTTCGTCCCCATCAGGTGGTGGGAGCACCCGCTGTCGAGCAGCACCGCCATCGGGTTGGCCTGCACGGCTGCCGCCACTGCCTGGAAGTCCTCGCCAGCCTCTGGCGCCAGCGAGACCGTCGGCTCCACTACGCCGACCATCGAGCACGACGCCTCCCCGTCGCCTCGGCTCTTGCCGCTGGAGCTGTCGACGTCTTTCGTCGACGACGTCTTCTTCGACTCTTGCTTCTCCTTGCGCGGCTTCTCTACTCGACGGGGGCGACGACTGGCCGATCGTCCGCGGCCTCCCTTGTTGTCGTCCTCGTCACTGTCATCGCGGTCGGGGCACTCAAAGGAGAGATGGTCAGGGTCGCCGCAGATCCAGCACTCCCGCCGTCGACCACCACCACGTCGACCCTTGTCCCGCGTCGACCTCTTCTCGTCGACGTCCTTCGTTGACCGCCCACCTCCGCTACCACCTCCGCCTGGCTTCCCGCGCTTCTCCTGCTGATAATTCAACTTCGTCGGTGCAGCGTAACTCGCCTGCGGAAGGAACTCCGTGGGCTGCTCTGCCTCCTGCATCGCCTCATCCTGGAGAATGTAGCTGGTGATGGAGTCCTCGTCGAGGGACTCACGCGTGCCGGGCACCATCATCATCCTCTTCATGAGATTGTAGATGCGCGGCAAGCCCTTGACGATGTGGGTGATGTAGGACGCCGTCGAGTATTCGGCGCCCGCCATTCGCATCTCAGCCAGGATCCGTCGAGCACGGTTGCAGTAATCCGTCGCCGACTCCTGCTCGCCCATCTAAATGTGAGTCATCTTCTCCTCTAGCTGTCCGATGTACAGGTCGTCCCTGACCTGGTACGTCGACATAATGAAGCGCCATGCCTGGTGACCAGCATCCAGTCGCTCTCGACAGCTCCTGAGCGCCAGCTGCACCACCGGCGAGCAGCACCTCGAGATGACCATGAAGGTGAGCAGGCGAGCAGAACGAAACTCCCCGCGCAGCCCGACATCCTCCTCGGGCGGAATTGGCACGGTGCCGTCGGCGAAGCCCTTCAGCCCGGCGACCTCCAGCTGAGGTTCGATGGACTCTCTCCAGGTGATGAGATCTCGTCGACCTTGCAGCGGAGCGACGGTGATTCGATCCGGCGAAAACTTGAAGTAGCCATACGCCAGTGCAATCCCGCCCGGCGTCACATGCGTCGTCGCCGAGAGCCCGCCACCACTTCGTAGCGGAGAGCGACGTCGAACATCGACGTCGGCGTGCGAGCTGCCTGCAGCCGCCATCGACCACTGCACTCGCGCCTGGATTCCGTCGACACCACCATCGACCTTGATCACTCCTCTCTGCCTCGTGCCTTCGCTGCCGCTGACTCGTGCACCACCGTCAACCTCGTCGTCGACGCCACCTTCGTTGCGCACCGGTCGAGGAGAAGCAGGACGGGAAGGGTGTTCCGTCGCCCACTGCGACCGGATGCCCAACTCGGCGATCACCAAGGGGATCGTGCCGTACTCGCCATTCGCGTGGCGTCTCCTCGCGTCAGCCAAACGTGCCTCCAAGGTGTCCGTTACACCCGCATCAGCTACGGGGTCGACCATGGCGACTATCGCTGCTGGCGGCCTACAAACGACTTAGTAGGTGCAAAAGTCGGCTCCTATCTGAAGGTCGCGTGTTCGTTCCACGCTCACCGCACCATGCGGAGATAAACTCTACAGCGGTAGTGAGACGGACTACAGGGTTGGCACGAACTACTAGAGGTGATCGTAGCTTTGCTTGGTTCCTTAGTGCTTGCACATTCACGGGAGAAATTGGCAAGAGTTTCCACTAGCAAAGTTGAGAATTCCAGAATGATAGAAGAAGCAATGACAACAATGACTACATCAGGCACCTAGCAACCCTGCAGCTAGCCTGGTCGACCGCCAGCGCAGCTCGGTCGACCGCCTGCCAGCATTGCGTAGAGGAGCCGCGCCAGCACTGCAGAAGGGCGACCTGCCAACAAAGCAGGTCGACGGCGTGCCTCGTAGAACACAGCAGTGCGCGCGCTCGCAGGTGTGCGCAGGCGATTGGCCCGACTTGCCTCGTTGGGCATCCGTCGGCTGTTGTCTGCGCCTGACGAGCCACATCGACTTCGGGATACCAGTCCAAAGTCGCCTGCGCCATCGCGATCTTGACGACGTTCGCGAGCCTTCGCAGTACTCGTCGAGCAGGTTACTCGGTCGACCTGGTCGACCCCTGGTGCTCTGGTCGACCCCCAGGTGCCTCCGGTCGACCACTGGGTCCCTCTGGTCGACCACCAGGCGCTCCTGGTCGACCACAACTCCCGTCGAGCTACCCCCTGGTCGACGGACCCCTTCCGTCGACCAGAACTGCTCTGTCGACCTCCCGGTCGAACTGTAGGTCGACGGACTGCTTCGTCGACCTCCCGGACGGCCCACCCGTCGCACAAACCAGTCAGTTGCAGCTGTCGAGCTCCTTGGTCAACAGTAACACCACAGTGGTCCGCTGCAGCTCGACGTAACCTGTCGAGCAGCTATCCCACTGTGAACGGTCGGCTGCTACTCCCGTGCATCCGACCAAGTCGTCGGCGTTGCCCAAGCGAGGGCGGGGCCAACACTCTATTCCTGTTAACAGATCGTGGCCTAGGATCTACTCAGGAAGGTTCGCACGCAGAGAAGTGATGTTGGTGGGCCCTTGACCTCAATAGCAGAGAATGTAAATGCTTGAGATGAGTAAAACATGCAAATACAACAAGTATAAATATGAGTACAGCGGAGATGAAACGACCTAGTTAGCCATGTACTCTAAGGGGTACATTCCCTTATTCAAATACATTCCCAACCGTGCGGCGCGAACAGTTACGAAACTGTTCCCGCCGAAGCCATCCTGCCTGCAGCTGCCTGATGCTGTCTGCTCCGACGGTTCAGATGCGTCCCAACTGTCTGACGCTTTGAGTCGTTTCCAACCGTCTGACGCTTCACGTTCATTCGCGATATTGCGTGCTTCTCTTTGCTGCGGTGAGGAGTGCACAGCAATATTTAAGTATTACTATTCGTAACAGTTGCAACAGGCCGTTTCAACAAGCAAACATCGCCCTTTTCGAGCCCGAGGTCGTTGCAATTTGACTGCAAAGACGCTAAGAGGAAAACCAGACAGGGGAGAGTCTGGGGCTGCTGTTGTGGGTGCAGCAGAGACTAGCAGCACATCATCCACAGGGGTGATGACAGTAGCTACACTGCAGTCGTACCCTTCACTTCACACACGTCTGTATCTTCTTCCATTACCTATCTCTCCATCCTCCTTTCCTAGTGTCCAAGACCAAGAAGGATGCAAGCAGCAGGGTGGGTTCAGAAATTAGGTGGCAAGAGTAGGGTGTACAACAGTCAAAATCGGAGGGTAGCAATTATATTAAGCAAAGATTTGCCTGAGGCAACAGCCGTAGATAGTGAGGAGCTAGTTCAAAAGGGCTGAAATACAGCACTCCTAACCATGCTTTTTATGCATGCAGTGCTGTGAAACCTCAAGAACAAAACGAAGGAAGTTTTACAGCCCACCAAATTTGTTTAAATAAAAGCAAACCGACAATCTCATACAAAAGGAAGTAAAAATCAACAGCCCACCAAGGTCACATTGAAAAAACCAGAAGCCCACCATATTTGTAAACAGCCCACCAAACTTGAAAACAGCCCACCAAACTTGAAAACAGCCCACTAAACACAAGAACGACACTGCTCCGATGCACTCCCGAAAGGCGGGAATGAAACCAACGAGGAGTAAAAAGGTAATGGCTTCTCATCAAGTACAGCAGGTACAGCTCCTCTGCCTTCCTTCAGCTTGACTTGAGGCCTTCATCAAGCCACCCTTCAGACGCAGCTTTCCTTCAGGACTTGAAGTATTCAGCTGCAGCTTTTCGGGGAAGGGCCCAGCAAACTCAAGCTCGCATTCCTGCATTCAAAGGACGATGATTGGCAGCAAATGAACCACAGGAACCAGAGAATTAGAGAACGAGTTCCAGGAGAGAATGAGGGATCTGTACTAGAAAATAAGACAGGAAAAACGTGTGCTCTTTACCAGGGTGATTCACCCTTTGTATGCTGAATGAATCAAGTTTGAGGCAAGACTAGATACAAAGATAGAGAACAGGGGTGAGAGAGGACAGGGTGAGAGAGGACAGGGGTGAGAGAGGACAGGGGTGAGAGAGGACAGGGGTGAGAGAGGACAGGGGTGAGAGAGGACAGGGGTGAGAGAGGACAGGGGTGAGAGAGGACAGGGGTGAGAGAGGACAGTGGTGAGAGAGGACAGGGGTGAGAGAGGACAGGGGTGAGAGAGGACAGGGGTGAGAGAGGACAGGGGTGAGAGAGGACAGGGGTGAGAGAGGACAGGGGTGAGAGAGGACAGGGGTGAGAGAGGACAGGGGTGAGAGAGGACAGGGGTGAGAGAGGACAGGGGTGAGAGAGGACAGGGGTGAGAGAGGACAGGGGTGAGAGAGGACAGGGGTGAGAGAGGACAGGGGTGAGAGAGGACAGGGGTGAGAGAGGACAGGGGTGAGAGAGGACAGGGGTGAGTAGGGGTGTAATCGGCGTTCACATACGCAAAACACAAGAGACAGTTCAACCAGCAGATGCACATGTGACTTCAATTGTACGTACCTATTAAGGACTCCACTGATCTATCCCACCATGACCGACAGGATCAAAGTTTGCAATCGCAAAACACGCGCCACAGTTGAGCAGGGACATGAGGGAAGAGTCCTGGCAGTGCAATTCGATGCACTCCTCAGTACTTGGACCTGAAAGGAAGTAGCAACACCAATAGGTATAATGGCATTAGGACCTGAAAGGAAGTAGCAACACCGATAGGTTTAATGACATTAGGACCTGAAAGGAAGGAAGTAACAACACTAGTACTTGTTGAAGGAAAAGGTACGGTGCTACTAGCACTGGAAAGGGAGAGAAGGGAGCGAGAGAGAGGGAGAGGGGGTGACAGAGAGGAAGCGAGAGAGAGGGGGCGAGGGAGAGGGAGGTTTAGGGGAGAGAGCGGAAGGGAGAGCGAGGAAGATACAGAGAGAAAATGTGCAATTGTAGGGTGGTAGACTGCACTTACAAGTCCCAATACCGTCGAGATTGACACATACTGCACCGTCGCACTGTGTGACTGCGCATGTTCCTGAGAAAGAGAGAAAGAGAGAGAGAGAGAGAGAGAGAGAGAGAGAGAGAGAGAGAGAGAGAGAGAGAGAGAGAGGGGCGGGGGGGAGGGGGAGAGGGAGAGAGTGAGAAAGTCGGAGGAGATGAGAGAGGGCGAGGAACGTGAACTACTATGACTGGGAAAGGGGACATGAGCGTGAGCGCTTGGCAGAATTTTGAGTCGACTCAAAAGTCACTTTGAGTCGACTCAAAGGAAAGGGGACATGAGCGTGAGCGCTTGGCAGAATTGGAGGTATTCTGCCAAGCAGTGCTGCAAAGAACAAGCACACTACGCACCTGTGCAAATGCCGTTGTGCCGCGTATATCCTTTTGCGCAGTAACAGACCGCACCATCATTCTTGTCGACACATACTTCAGTCTCGGAATTACAAGGGTATGACTCGCATGTCCCTGGCAGAAGCGAGGGAGAATGGAAGGTAGTTTTGAGAGTGGGGTATAGAGAGACAAAGAGAGCATAATTTAAAACGTGGGATATAGAGAGACAAAGAGAGCATAATCTAAAATGTGGGATATAGAGAGACAAAGAGAGCATAATCTAAACGTGGGATATAGAGAGACAAAGAGAGCATAATCTAAAACGTGGGATATAGAGAGACAAAGAGAGCATAATTTAAAACGTGGGATATAGTTTTGTGCCATACAGAGAGCTGGTTAGACCGTGTAGAGAGATGGGATGGATCCAGTTAAATGAAGACCGATGAGCGTGCAGGGAAAATGCGAGGCAGACAAAGATGCACGTACCTTTACAATTCGGCGGCGCGCCTGTGTATTCGGGCTCCCTGCAAACGCATTGTCCACCGTAATCCGTTTCTTTGCAACGTTCCAAGGGGCCACACTTCGTGAATATGCATTGTGCTGGCAGTTGTTGGTTGGCAAAATCATCAACGAGGGAGAGGGGAGGGGGAGGAAGAGAAAGAGAGAGGAAGGGGGGAGGGGGGGGGGGGGACGGGGGGGAGGCGGCTGAGGGGAGAGTGTCGGCAAGAGACAATTGCTAGACACGGCATCCATTAGCAGGGGTTCTTGCAATTTAATGGACTTGGTACAAACAACTTCTGAATCACATGATGGACTCCTCTCCTTCTGTTCCGTGCTCTCTATACTAGCTTGTACGATACAGAGAGCGTGTGTGAGAGCACAGTGCGTGAAGGTGACGACATGCTACGTACGAGGGCATGTGTGAGAAGGAGTTTTCATGTATCCAAACTTGCAGTTTTGAGACGTCTCAGAATACGTACGCGCGCAGGTGCGATAAGGAGTTTGCATGTATCCGAACTTGCATCGGCAGTAAGACGTGTCTTGCCTCTCCACACACTCCTCGTTGAGACCACACACTCGTATTGAGCACGGCGCTGGCAGATGGTGGGAGGATCAATGGGGAGGAGAGGGAGAGGGAGAGGGAGGGAGAGAGAGAGGGAGGGAGAGAGGGAGGGAGAGAGGGAGAGAGGGAGGGAGAGAGGGAGAGGGAGAGACGGGGGAGGGAGAGAGAGGGAGAGAGAGGGGGACGCTGGCACATGGTTGATTTGAGATGCTACCTTGCCCACATCGACCACGGGTTTGCATAGGCATCGATAAAGAAACGACTTGAGAGGGGAGAGAAGAGGACAATCCAGGGGGAGAGAAGAGGAGAAGTACTTACGCTTGCAAAATCCTGGGACCCCGAGATATCCTGGCTTGCAGTTGCACGTTGGTCTGAGGTTCACCATCTCGCATACTTCGTTTTGACCGCATTCATAGACTGCGCATGTGGCTGGTAAGTGGGAGAGAGAGGGGAGAACGAGAGAGGTGGTGAGGGATAGTGAGGCGAGGCAGGGGAATGGACGGTGGTAGAGGAAGGAGGGTAATAAGAGGGAAAGAGAGAGATAATATGCAAGGAAAGTGAGAGGGAAAAGATAAGAGGAATGGTAAGCCAAACATACTCCATACCATCACAGTATTTGCCTCGCGCGACGTATCCTGCAGCGCATTCGCAAGTCCCAGCGCCTCCGGGGACTTTCTCCACACAGTGTTGGTTAGGCGGGCAGTAGAGAGCATTGCATGTTGCTGCACGATGGATTTGGTGATTGATTTGATAGGGAGAAGTGGGAGAATGAGACGGGGGAAGAGGAGAGAGCATGACAGAGAGGTTATGACAAACGAGCAAGATAGGCAGCGATACGAGTGACAATGAAAGAGAGAAGAATATCAATTATAGAGAGGCATTGCATAGGAGGGAGAGAAAGAAAGGCAAAGAACGCATGTGAGTTAAGAGAATAAAGTGAAAGAACAAGCACAGCACATACCAGCACACGATCCCGCCTGGCCGACGTATCCGCTCCTGCATTTACAGGTCGGCACACCTCCTACCATTGCACATTCTTCCAATGGTCCACAATTTATGGCTTCACAGGTGTCTGTTGGATGGATGGAGGGAGACAGGAGATGGGAAGAGGGGGAGATGGGAAGAGGGGGAGATGGGAAGAGGGGAAGATGGGAAGAGGGGAAGATGGGAAGAGGGGGAGATGGGAAGAGGGGGAGATGGGAAGAGGGGGAGATGGGAAGAGGGGGAGATGGGAAGAGGGGGAGATGGGAAGAGGGGGAGATGGGAAGAGGGGGAGATGGGAAGAGGGGGAGATGAGAAGAGGGGGAGATGGGAAAAGGGGGAGATGGGAAAAGGGGGAGATGGGAAGAGGGGGAGATGGGAAGAGGGGGAGATGGGAAGAGGGGGAGATGGGAAGAGGGGGAGATGGGAAGAGGGGGAGATGGGAAGAGGGGGAGATGGGAAGAGGGGGAGATGGGAAGAGGGGGAGATGGGAAGATGGGGAGATGGGAAGAGGGGGAGATGGGAAGAGGGGGAGATGGGAAGAGGGGGAGATGGGAAGAGGGGGAGATGGGAAGAGGGGAAGAGGGAAGGTGGGAAGAGGGGGAGAGGGGGAGAGGGGAGAGAAAGCAACCAACATCGCCACTAATGCAATGACCTTTGGCAGGGAGCATGCTGGTGTGGATGTGGCATTGGAGCAGGAAGGGATGAATATGTGGGTCAGCCACGCAAGTGAGGCAGCGAAGTGGAGAAGGGAAACGCAGGAAGGAGCAAAATGACAGAAAGAGGACATCAGGAGAGGGGAGAAGGGTCAGGGAGTGGAATGTGCACGAGTGAATGATAAAGGGAAGGCAACGGGTCAAGTACCAGGACCCTTCTTCTGGCAACGGTAAATGAGAGCATCAGGACTTGGATATATGGACCATCACGTACTAGGGCAGGCTTGAATGCTCATCTGGGAGTTCCAAACACAGTCACGAGGACAGTTAGCCGGGCAGTTAACTGCAACAGAATCCAAGAGGGATAAAGAGGTACAGGTGCAAATTAGCAACAGAATGAAAGCAAGACGATCTGCTTTGCTGCCAAAGCAGACAATCTGTCTACCTTCTCTCAATCACCAGCAATTGTCTAGAAAAACCACATCTGCCACGTGACTACTCCCCATTTGCCATGTGACCAACAGTGGCTAGATAAGCAACTTCACCTCGCCTTTATCACAGCGATCAAGAGTAACCATCCTCATTACTCCCCAATGGATGATCATTGGATGGACGATGATTGGATGGACGATGATTGGATGGAACGTGTGTAAGTTGCCGAGCAAGCGCACCTTTCTTACAGACCGGATAAAGTCCAGATGTGTCACAAAGGTATCCATATGGACAGGGCATGGCCGGGCATGATACTGGCAGATGGAGGGTGGAGATTGAGTATGATGAGAGGGAGAGAGGGGAGGGGAGCACGGGTAGGCAGGGAGGGGAGGTGGACAGGGAAGGGGAGATGGGGGGTTTGAAGAGTTCATATGGTTAAACACCAAAAGGTTAGCTTTGATGAACACCACACCACAAGGCCAACAAAGCTTGTTGGGCCATGCCTCAGACCCAGAGAAATAAAAACAGAGATAACGGGGATAGGGAAACATAGAGAAAGAACTGCCACGGGTTTTTTTTAATCCATTGTACGTACGTACGTACGTACCTATGCAATTTCCTGAGACTGGATCCGGTGTGTAGCCATCGTTGCACTTGCAGTATTGAAAGGGCGGATTGTTGTTCCACCACCACCAGTTGTCATATTTCTCAACGCAATTGCCATCACCACAGTTGTCAGTGGTGCATTCGTCACGAAGAAAGTCTGGACACAGATGGAGAGAAGACAGGAGTGTGTAAGCAGGTCAGGCATGCGGGATGGGACACCCACCACCTTCCATAAATCAACAGAGGCAAACCAGCAGGTGTTTTCTGAGTCCTCTGAAAATCACCTGCAATCCAGCAGGGGGAATGGTACTTATTCAAATGGGATTGGCTTGAAAGACACATCAAACTTTTCCTGATTGCTCAAACTGAGCTGTGGTAGGTGTTTTGAGTCGACTCAGAACACGACTCAAACTGAGCTGTGGTATTGTGCAAGCGCACGCCATATATATACAGGCCACGAACATATCCAAGCAAGCAAATTATTTCCGTGAGCCACACAAACCTCATTCACACCACTGCTTGACTTCGGATGAACCTTGAGAAAGAGGTGAAGGAGAGGGGGAGAGATGAAGATGGTGAAAACGGAGTACAGATACCAGCACATTCGTACGAAAATCGTAGCACAAAGGACAGCACATAGGTACGAAAATACCAGCACAAGTACGAAAATACCAGCACAAAGGACAGCACATACGTACGAAAATACCAGCACAAGTACGAAAATACCAACACAAGTACGAAAATACCAGCACAAGTACGAAAATACCAGCACAAAGGACAGCACATACGTACGAAAATACAAGCACATAAATACGGAAGCACCAGCACATAAAACACCAGCACATACATACAGACATACCAGCACAAAGGACAGTAACACATGCGTACGTACCAGCACACACCCGGTTCTGGCAATAGTATCCAGCCACACACTCGCATCTTCCAGCGATCCCGTTTGGGAGGTCACGTAATTAAAGTGTATTTTTGAGACGTGTCAAAAGAACATATGTACGTACCAACACACTCCCCGTTCCGGCGATAGTATCCAGCCACACACTCGCAGCTTCCAGCGATCCCGTTTGGGAGGTCTTCAAAGCATTCTTCCAAGTCACCACACGGCTTTGGACTCCACGGATCGGCCAGAATTTTGCATGTGGCTGGCAGATGGTTGGTGAGAGGGGGTATGTGGGAGATTGGATTGTGCACAGGTAGAGAGAGAGAGAGGGAGAGAGTGAGAGAGAAAGAGAGAGAAGGGTGGGGGGGGGGTTCTGAGATACTCCCTCCCTTCTCAAATCTCTCCTATCAAAAGCAATTACAGTGCAGTCTCAGCAGGACCCGTGGGCCCCACACTCTCGGCATGACCCATGGGCCCCACACTCTCGGCATGACCCGTGGGCCCCACACTCTCGGCATGACCCGTGGGCCCCAGCATATGCTGCGTTGCGGCAGACCTAGGTTGCGGAGGGTGACAGGGAGGAGGGAGAGTTTCAACCAAGCAACACCCCCTACCCCTCCTATCCTAGCGACAGATTGGCAGAAAGGAGGGGTAGGGGGTGTTGCTTGGTTGGAAGTACTCTTGTGTAGTCTGGAGGGGGGGGGGGGGGGGGGGGGGGGGGGGTCTGTCATAGGCAAGGAAAAAGCAAGAGGCCGTGTGGTTTATGGCATATGAGTTGCTTCGTTTTGTCTAGCTACATCAGTCTTACTTGCCAACGCTTGTACCCGTTTGCCTATTCTAAAACATGACTGCTTGAGAGGAACGAAGGGAGACTGGCATAATTGAAAAAAAGCATACGTACGGGCACAAACGTGTGTCTCTCTGCGAAGGTACCCGTCCTTGCACACGCATTTAGCATGGGTCCGTTTTTCCATGCTTGGAGGAATGCAGTCTTCTTCTGGGCTGCAATTCACGTCAGGGTGATCACATGTTGCTGGAGGATGGATGACACGAGAGGGGAGGGGGTATGCAGGAGAGAGGGAGGTGAGCACGTGTTCTCTAGTGGCGTTCAGCTGTTGACATTGCACATGTCAGCATGCAGTTTGGACTGAGCAATGAATTCTTAGGAGTTAACACAAGTTTATCGTATGGAATTGGAATTGGAATTGGAATTTGGACGGCTGCAAGTTGTAGGAGTAGTGGGAAAAACAATACAAGTCTAGTTTTGAGGCGCCTCAAAACTAGTAGTGGGAAAAACAATACATTTGTCGGAAGACTTCCCGTGCAAAGGCAGCTCAACCATTTCCTGTACTCCCATGCACAGCAAGTTGACTTTTCAGTCGACTCAAAAGTCAACCCCGTGCAAAGGCGGCTCGACCATTTCCTGTACTCCCATACACAACGTACCGAGACAAGATCCAGGCTCGCCAATCATGTGATCGCCACATGTGCAGGTAATATCGTCGCGACAAACGGCTGGGGGCCAGCACCACCTTTCCCAGCACTTATCTGGCAGATGATTGGTGGGGAGAGGACGGGAGAGATAGAGAGGGGGAGAGCTATCAATTATAGCTATGGGGCACATCAGGGATGCTTCTTGAATAGGAAGAGAAGGGGGAGTGAAGGGGAGGGGGGAAGAGAGAGCGAGGGAGTTCACATACGCACCGATGCAAGTCCCATTTGGCAGCTGGACGGTGCCGTCCATAAAGCAAATGCAGATGGCTTCTAGAGTGACAGGGTCATGCTCGCACACTCGTCGCTCACCACAGTCCTTAGTTTCGCAGTCATCTGATAGAGAGGGATGGAGGACATAAAAAAGGGAGAAAGGTAGAGAGAGGTGAAGAAGAGAGTGCAAATTGGGGGAAGATGGCGAGAATGGGGGATGAGAGGTAGAGAGGAAGGGGATGAGCGGGGATGAGCTTTGAGGAGCTACAAAACTACACGTGTGATCTGTCTCTTACCGAGGGTGAAGGAGGGAGGAAGCACCAAGTAGGCGTCACGAAAAGCAAAGGAAACCACCAATACACACCTCTGCAAGTGCCATCAGATTGCATGGTAAAGCCGGTGCTGCACTGGCAGGATGCCGTTCCAGATACAGGGTCCTTGGCACACACAGCCGAGTCATGGCATCCCTTGAAATTGCAGTTATCTGACAGGGAGGATGCAAAAAACAAAAGTTGGGGTGGGGATAGGCAAGTAAGTACCATTTGAAGAGGAAGGAAAGTAGTTTGGAACACCCCAAAGCTCTATCTCACGGTACTATCAGGAAATGCACGGCCTGGGGGAAATGCACTTTGTGTGAAATTTTTGCACGCAAAAATAAAAAAGTTCAGATAATTTACCAGTATTGATGATGGCAAGCGTGGAATGCAACGGAAAAGAGGAAGGCAAGCAAGAAAATGCACGAGAAAGAGGATATGAAGTAGAGCCATTCCAGCCGCCCTGAGCTGAGATGCCTCGAAATGTTACGTACCAGCGCAATACATGTCTTCAGCAACGTCTCCAACGCAGCTAGAACCAATGGCACATCCCGTGACGATGCATGATGCTGGCGAAGGAATGGGGGAGGAAGAGAGAGGGTTCAGAGGGAGGGGAGGGGAGCAGAGGGGAAGCAGAAGGAAGAGGGGGGAGTGGCGGTTGTGCATTAAAACATAGGACCATTTGAGAGGGAGGGGGGAGGAGGGAGGGTAAGGGGTGCTTCCATTGCTAGAGGAGGCGAGGGGTGGTGAGACTGAGAGCGAGTATTGAGGATGGGGTAAAGCAAAGGAGGCCAAATATACGCACCAGCACAGGAGTTATCCGGTAGCATGTAGAAACCATTGTTGCAACGGCAGGTTTTGGTTCCACTCTGCTGGTCCGTCTCACATGTAGCATTGGGACCACAGAGATCGCAGATTTCTGACAAGAGGGGTGGCAATAATGAGAGATAATGAGAGAGAGGGTGAGGATAATGAGAAATAGGTTGCAGCAAAAGAAGACACATGTTAATGATACACACGTGCCACGCAGCCAGCATATACATTTTCGTACCAATGCAATTTCC